GTCTACTCGCCCTAACCCGGACCGAGATCAGAGAAGTATAGCCGACCCCCGTGTAACACTAAGAGTTACTTATACTATATACTCCATATTAAACTTAAGCCTTAGTATTATGTACTTATAATATAACGTGGTTCACAAGTAAGTCGCTAACTAAAGCGAGTCGCTAACGCCCCACTACTACATCTACATTAACACGTTATCACAGTTTTTTATTATAACTAGTTAATAAACTATTATAATACACTAAATAAATTATGAAAATTACTACTATTATTTGTACTATCTGTCTTAACTACGCAAGTATAAGCGTTGTGTCTAGTCTATTTACAACGCCCGCACTACTACTCTCTTTACACCCTCTTTAACGCACTCTTATTATTACTATAATTACTACTTGCCTATTTAGCTAATACTTCTTGTACTTCGCCTATAGTAAGAGCCTCTTCTATCTATACGTATCGCTACTTATAGCTTTTACGCTTATTTAACTTATTAAGAGCTACTTAAAGCGTACTTATTTCCTCTATTACAAGCGTTATTTTATATGCTATTTACTAGGCCCCCTTACTTAGCTACGCAATCTACTTAGTAAGTAAATTAGTAGAAGACCTATAGCGTTTTCTTACGCTCTCTTAAATAAAACTAATTTAAAACTTAACTTTGCGCGCGTTGCGAAGTATCTACGCCTACTAGGTAGCTATCTATTATAGTAATTGTATAGGTGTCTGCACTACTATATTAAGCTTAGATAGCACAGCCTGTAGGTTGTGTAGGACTAGACCAGCGCCTCTAAAGCTAGCTTAGATATTCTCTTTTGTAATAGACTGCTTAAAAGTAGTCTTAAAGGATAGTAGGAAGGTCTCTTTGCTAATATAGTAGGTGTGGTTACTGTAACGGGCTAGGTAGCCCGCTACAGTACAGATAGCGGTGGCTATCTTATGTATCAACTACGCAACGATATCAGCAGCTCTGATATCTTGTGCCAGCCTTTTTGGCGCGGTGGGCGCGTTGTAGTTGCGTGCGCAGTCTAATAGGACTCGACCCGTTACAGTTACGTGCTAAGCCTAAAATAGCCTTGCTATACTTGCGCCTTAATAGCGAGAAGCAGGCGACGTTAAGGGGCTACAATAGGTAAAATAAGTGCGTAGGTATATAGAGAAGCATAATATTCTTCTCCTTACAAAGATCTTAGAAATTAATAGAGTAGTACCTCTTATAGCTATTAATAATAAGCAGTTAATACCTCCCTATAGTAGAGCTCTTTGTATAGGTATTAAAGTGCTCTAACTAGGCAAGACTAAGCTAATTATTTATCTAGCTATTAAGACTAACTTTAAACACCTAGTTAGTAGGCAAGTTCTTTAACTAGATATTAATAAGCACCTTGCCTATAAAGATAATAAAGGGTAGTATTTAGCAATCTAACGCGCCTACGCCTTGGATTATAGTAACCTACTTATAATTGCTTAGCTATATTTACTTTTTTTTTATATTCTTTTAATGCTATAATTAATAACTATAATAAAATTTTACTTATTATAAAGCTAGTTTAAATAAAGTTATAGATATTATTATCTATAATACCCTAGTTCTACCTCATTACTTAGACTAAGTTAAACTAGCGCTAGATAGCTACTAAGTTCTTATAGGTAGCTTACTAGTAATTATAAAGATAGCTCTAGCGCGTATAGAGCTTAGTAGTCTACTTTATAAAGTAATTAACCTAGTTCTTACTAATAAGGTTGCTACTACGCTTTTTTAATAGTTTATTAGCTATTACGTAAACTTTAGCCTTTATAGGAGTAAATCTACGCGTAGACTCTTTAAAAATACGTCTAATAATTGTAACGGGCTGAACGCCCTTTGGATAGCTCCTCGATGGAATCTCGGGCTAAGCTGCGCGCGCACCATCTGAACTACGTTCAGACCGAGCAGCGCTTAGACAACGCGCTTAGATACTCTGGCATAACCTTTCTCTAATAAGTAAATAAACACCACGTAAGTAGAGTAGATAGCTCCTTATTAAATACAACCTCTTGTATACCTCGTAATTGCTCCCTAGAGCGTAGCCCCTTATATTTTATATTTAATCCTAATTAGACACAAGCCTTAGGCAGACTATCTTCTAACTAAGTTTTAGAGCGTGTTATTAGTGTGAGCTAGTAATATAGAGTTAGTGCTATAATAGGTACGAAAGGCCTTTAGTGCAGCGAGAAAGTAGACCGTCGCAAGACAGTACACCTAAGGCAGAGCTTTGCAGGAAGTTCAGCCGTAAGAGATAGTAGGCGAATTAGTCGCCTAGGACCTGTCTAGGAAGTCCTATTGTGTCTTAGAAAGCTAAGCTATAGGCACAACGTCGCGTAATAAACTACCTAAAGGCCACTTGGGCCTAGTGTATAGTTAGCTAGAAGCGGACGTTGTAGTGAGAAGTCCTGTCGATCCTCTATTAGACGAGGTGCAGGCCGTGCGATTACTCTCAATAGGAGACGAGATCCCACGAGCGAGACGGCAAGACGTGAGTCTTCCTAGGGACGCGACACAACAGCGACAGAACGCTGTTTAGATTCTAGCTAGTAACAAGGACAGCTAAAGGTAAGCCCTACTAGTCCTTACCGACGAGGAGTAGGCCGCAGTCTAGGACTGCGCGAGCGGATCGAAGAGCGATTAGAAGCCCTGCATATTAGCAGGCAAAGAACAAGACGTCTAAAACGAATTAGGCAATAGAGATTAACGTTCTAAACTTGAATATAGAAGAGCTGGCGGCGTACGCTGCTGCCAAGAACTAGGCAAGAGTATTAGATAAAGAGATCCTGCGCGAAATTACACAAATGCTTAGAGAGGACGGATAGAAGAAGGCAGCAATTAGGCCAACGATTAAAGCGGTCGCCAAACAATCGGCCGTCGTAGGAGGAAAGGGCTTACTAAGGCAAGGAGGCTCGCCGAAGGCCAACTAGGATGCCATGGCCTAGATGATGGAGCTGATGAATCGGTTAACAGCCCAGAACTAGGTGCTAACGGAACGGCTCGTGGCACTCGAGCGTAACCAAGCTGAGGGGCGTTTAGAGTCGTCCTATAGAGCCTTTACGCCTCCCCTAGCAGCAGCCGCAATTGCTAAGCTAGCTGCGCGCAGGAACAAGTTCCCGCACCTAGAACCATTTAATAGAGATTAAATAAAGTACGTAGCGTTTAAATATAAGACTTAAGCTAAGCTCTAGCACAAGTACAAAGGAACTTTAAGCCTCGCTTAGATCGAGTACGTGGTTAGTAGGTGTATGGGCAAGGCAGCGGATGTACTTCTACCCTAGGCAATACAGAACTAGAGTAAACGCCACATTGAAGACCTCTGGAGCTTTATGGACTAGCAGTTTAACAACCTACACTAGAAGTCTAAAGCACTTAATCGCCTTTTAACTCTTAAACAAGGCAAGCTTTTAGTAAGAGACTATTACATAGAGTTTAACTGTCTTAAGATTTAGTTAGGCGAGCAGTTTGGCAAAGCAGCTAAGAAGAGTATGTTCTTAAAGGGCCTTTACACTAAGCTGCAGGAGGCTCTTGCTATAATTAATAAGAATCTATTGTATAAGCAGCTAGTTAATAAGGTAGTAAGAACGTCTAACAACCTCTACTAGGTAGGTCTCGTTAAACTGCGCGCAACGAGCTCCTAGGTGGTAGATCGCCCTACTACAACAACCGCTTAACATAAAGCTAGTCTAGACGTTATAGACTAGGAGCCTTCGAAGTTTAATTAGGCGCAAGAGGCTAGAGGCAAGCTATAACAACCTCCGCCCAACTGCTATCGCTGCGGAGAGCTAGGTCATATCGCGAAATACTGTCAAAACGCCACCTAGGTCAAGAAGGCAAGGCCTGCGCTAAGCAACGTTAGACATAAGCTGCAGAAGGAAGTCGATTAGGTGCTAAGTAGCGAGTTGGAAAAAGAGTAGCTCTAGACTAGAGTCTTGGTCTAGAGCCTCTAAAGATGGATTGGTAGATACGTAGTAAATAGAATTAGTTTTAGCAGAAGCATATGCGTCTTTCACCAATTACTGTAGATCTAATTGTGAACAACGTGGTAAACGCTGTTACGCTTATTGACTGCGGATGCCTATGCTATACACTAATTAGCAAGAGATTCGCTTACCGCCACTGTCTAGAGCGCTTTTCAATACCTGCTCAAATAATTAAGGGGGTGATTGGCAAGCTATTAGAGATTAATAAGGTTGCTTAATTCTTGTTTAAGATGCATAGGTACGAAGAGACTGCCTACGCATATGTGATGAATTTGTCCTCTAGTAAGGACGTGTACTTTAGTAGAGGATAGATGAACTACTAAGACGTGTTAGTAGCCCCTACTAAGAAGAGCATTTTTATCTACTTAAAGGGCATTTAAGTGAGGTTAACTAAAGAGGCTCTACTAGGAGGAGTTAGCCAAGTTAACGCTGCAGCGTTTGCGGCCCTAGTTCGCAGACATAAGAACGCTCCAAACAGCGTTCAGATCTTCGCCGCGTTAATTGCAGATATTAATAAGGCGCTACAACCTAAGAAGCCTGTAAACGTACGAGCACTACTACTAGCGCAGTATTAAGAGTTCTACGAGCTCTTTAACCTAAAAGAAGCTAAGAAGCTACCACCACACTAAAGGCCAGGAGTGGACCACAAGATTAAGCTAGAGCTAAGGGATACTTAACCGCTATAGGGACCTCTTTATAGTATGTTGCGTGGAGAGCTTCTAGTCCTCTAAAAGGAGCTTACGTCACT